AGATCGCTTGATCGTTAGATCGCCTCCTCGTTAGATCCCTAGATCGATGGATCGTTGGATCCTTAGATCGCTGGGTCGATGGATCCTTAGATCGTTAGATCTTTACATTGTTAGATCGTTAGATCGATGGCTTTATTGATCGTTAGATCGCGAGATTATTATATCGCTAGATCGATGGATCGCTCGATTGTTAGATCCCTAGATCGATGGATCCTTACATCGTTAGAACGTAAGATCGCCACCTCGTTAGATCCCTAGATTGATGGATCGTTAGATCGTTACATCGCTGGATCGATGGACTGATTGATCGTTAGATCTCTAGATCGATGGATCTTTAGATTGTTAGATCGCTAGATCGCTAGATCCTTAGATCGCTAGATCGTTAGATCGCTAGATCCTTATAGATTGCTAGATCGACGGATCGATGCATCGTTAGATCGCTAGATCGTTTGATCGATGGATCGTTAGATCGCTAGATCGTTAGATCGATGGATGGTTAGATCGTTACATCGTTAGATAGTTAGATCGCTAGATCGAATATCGCTAGATCCATTGATCGCTGGATTGTTAGATCGCTAGTTCGTTACATCGTTAGATCGCTAGATCGATGGATCGTTAGATCGCTATATCGTCACATTCCTAGATCGTTGGATCGTTAGATCGTTAGATCGCTAGATCGCTAGATCGTTAGATTGCTAGATGGATGCATCTTTAGATCGCTAGATCGCTAGATCGTTAGATCGCCACCTGGTTAGATCCTTAGGTCGAAGGATCTTTAGATCGTTATATTGGTAGATCGATGGATCGCTAGATTGTTAGATCGCTAGATCGCTATATCGCTAGATCGTTAGATCGCTAGATCGATGAATCGATGGACTGATTGATCGTTAGATCGCTAGATCGTTATATCGCTAGATCGAGGTATCGCTAGATCGTTTTATCGCTAGATCGATGGATCGCTAGATTGTTAGATCGCTAGTTCGTTACATCGTTAGATCGCTAGATCGATGGATCGTTAGATCGCTATATCGTCACATTGCTAGATCGATGGATCGTTAGATCGTTAGATCGCTAGATCGCTAAATCGTTAGATTGCTAGATCGATGCATCTTTATATCGTTAGATCGATAGAGCGTTAGATCGCCACCTGGTTAGATCCCTAGGTCAAAGGATCGTTAGATCGTTATATCGCTAGATCGATGGATCGCTAGATTGTTAGATCGCCAGATCGTTAGATCGTTAGATCGCTAGATCGATGGATCGTTAGATCCCTATATCGTTACATCTTTAGATCGGTGGATCGTTAGATCGTTAGATCGCTAGATCGTTAGATCGCTAGATCGATGGATCGTTAGATCGCTATATCGTAACATCGCTAGATCGTTAGATCGTTACATCGCTAGATCGTAAGATCGTTGGCTCGCTAGTTCGTTAGGTCGCCACGTCGTTAGAACCCTAGATCGATAGATCATTACATCCCAAGGTCGATGGCTCCTTGGATCGCTAGATCTTTAGATCGTTAGATCGCTTGATCGTTAGATCGCTGGATCGATGGACTGATTGATCGTTAGATCGCTAGATCGTTATATCGCTAGATGGATGGATCGCTAGATTGTTAGATTGGTAGATCGTTAGATGGCTAGATCGCTAGATCGATGGATCGTTAGATCGCTATATCGTTAGATCGCTAGATCGTTGGATCGTTAGATCGTTGGATCGCAAGATCGTTAGATCGCTACATCGATGGATCGTTAGATCGTTAGATTGCTAGATCGTTCGATCGTTAGTTCGGTAGATCGTTGGATCGTTAGATTATAAGATTGCGAGATCGTTCGATCGTTAGATTGCCACCTCGATAGATCCCTCGATCGATGGATCGTTAGATCGCTAGATTCTTAGATCGCTGGATAGATGGACTGATTGATCGTTAGATCGTTAGATGGTTAGATCGCTATATGGTTACATCGCTAGATCGTTGGATCGTCAGATCGTTAGATCGCTAGATCGTAAGATCGTTAGGTCGCCACCTCGTTAGAACCCTAGATCGATGGATCATTAGATCGCAAGGTCGATGGATCCTTAGATCGCTAGATCTTAAGATCGTTAGATCGCATGATCGTTAGATCGCTGGATCGATGTACTGATTGATCGTTATATCGCTAGATCGATGGATCGCTAGATTGTTAGATCGGTAGATCCTTAGATCGTTAGATCGCTAGATCGCTAGATCGATGGATTGTTAGATCGTTAGATTGCTAGATCGTTAGATCGTTAGATCGCTAGATCGTTATATCGCTAGATCGATGGATCGCAAGATTGTTAGATCTCTAGATCGTTAGATCGTTAGATCGTTGGATCGCTAGATCGCTAGGTCGCTAGATCGTTAGATCGCTAGATGGTTGGATCGTTACATCGTTAGATCGCTAGATCCATGGATCGTTAAATCGTTACATCGCTAGAGCGATGGATCGCTAGATTGTTAGATCGGTAGATCGTTAGATCGCTAGATCGCCACCTTGTTAGATCCCTAGATCGATTGATCGTGAGATCGTTAGATCTTTAGATCGTTAGATCGCATGATCGTTAGATAGCTGGATCGATGGACTGATTGATCGTTAGATCGCTAGATCGTTATATCGCTAGATCGGTGGATGGCTAGATTGTTAGATCGGTAGATCCTTAGATCCTTAGATCGCTAGATCGCTAGATCGATGGATTGTTAGATCGCTATATCGTTAGATGGCTAGATCGTTGAATCGTTAGATCGTTGGATCGCAAGATCGTTAGATCGCTACATCGATGGATCGTTAGATCTTTAGATTGCTAGATCGTTCGATCGTTAGATCGCCACCCGGTTAGATCCCTAGATCGATGGATCGTTAGATCGTTATATCGTTAGATTGATGGATCGCTAGATCGTTAGATCGCTAGATCGATGGATCGTTAGATCGGTTTATCGTTACATCGCTAGATCGTTGGATCGTTAGATTGTTAGATCGCTCGATGGATGGATCGCTAGATTGTTAGATCGCTAGATCCTTAGATCGCTAGATCGATGGATGGTTAGATCGTTAGATTGCTTGATCGTTAGATCGTTAGATCGCTAGATCGTTATATCGCTAGATCGATGGATCGCTAGATTGTTAGATCTCTATATCGTTAGATCGCTAGATCGCCAGATCGTTGGATCGTTAGATCGTTAGATTGCCAGATCGTTAGATCGCTAGATTCATGGATCGTTAGATCTTTAGATCGCTAGATCGTGGGATCGCTAGATTGTTAGATCGGTAGATCGTTAGATCGTTGGATCGCTAGATCGCCATATGGTTAGATCCCTAGATTGATGGATCGTTAGATCGCTATATCGTTAGATCGCTAGATCGATGGATCGTTAGATCGTTAGATCGCTAGATCGATGGATCGCTAGATTGTTAGATCGCTAGGTCCTTAGATCGCTAGATCGAAGGATGGATGGATGGATAGAAGTTTTTGAAAGAATTGTTTATAATCAACTTTTCCATTATCTAGATGATAACACGCTTGGAAATTTTTGTGCCAATTTTGGCCAAGTTAAGTGTCCCCAGTTTCCAGTCCCTAATTAGCAGTTCTATAGCGCGGTCATTTGGCAGCCATTTCTACAGGCTTTAAGCTTTCTGTTGATATGCGATTTGCATGCGTTTACATCTTTCTTCTGCAAAATTTTTCCTTGTACTTTTACTCTCTGTTTCATGCACACTGAGTTCGCAGTCCTTCACGAAAAATTGAGTATTTTTGTCGAAAATTTTCTCGCTGGGAAACGTATTATTGCCAGGTATGATATCGTAAACAGAAGACCTGAAACCTCGGCTGTGTTTTCCTCGTTTTGGTTTTTTACCGGATGCCTCTGGTTCTTAGAGATTTTTGCGTTTATATGGTTCGCTGAGCGGTTTACATAGGGAGCAAGTCACGAAGAAAGAGCACTACATCGAAGAAATGGAAGTCAAATTTTCCTCTTGGGGAGCTCAGTAAGCAGAGGGCTACGCTTCGAGCGGAGTACCTTTTGAAATCAAAGGAATTTGTACCTTAAAAAAAAGACTTCAGCGACTCAAGAATAAGGTAAGTTTAGCTTGAAAAAGGTTTTTTTAGTAAAAGGAGAGGACTACCGTGTGGCACGAAAATTTTGCGGGTTCTTATTTTTGCGATTTCTCCATCGATCCGCTAAAATTTACTCCAGAGTAAATGTTCTCTAAGTTAAATTCGCTACATTCATTTCGTACAGAAGTAGTGGGAAGAAGTTGATAAAATATCAAGCAAATTCATCTTGTGTGATCATGTCCGCAATTCTCATGACCACTCTGTTTAACAAAGTATTTATATCACAAGGAGAAATTTGATGCTGATCATTCATAGGGCTTAAAGGGTTAACTTACGTTCTTGAACTTGCAGAAAACTCGCATAAAAGAAAATGTTGATTTGGTAAAAGTTGATCTTCCCGCTGTCAAGACTAAAAGAAGGTTAGTTTTTGAAGTGACAGCTAACACATCCACTCTAAGAAAAAAAGTCCAACTGTGCTCACTGATGAGGGAAAGCTAAACGTGCCGCAGCGAAGTGCCAGCAGAAGACAACTTGAAACGTTGGTTGCAGCAACAGAGGTAAATGGTGGATCTGTTGAAGACAGGTCCCCAGCCTTGGATGGCATGTTTTCTACGCTGACTAAATATGCGAAGACAGCAGCTCTATCTAAATACTTTTCTTCATCAAAAAAGATGAGAAAAGCTAGTCTAGCAGTAATAAAACCTCAGGCTAAGCAGTATGAGCAAAGTGATCATAATGTCATTGATTCACTTTCTATGCTTTATGCAGGAGGATTGATGGGAAAGGTAAAATATGAACAAACAAGATCAGCTCTTGTTATGAAAAATACTAAGAAACACACCAAGAAACTAGGTTCTGTGTCTAAAAAAAGAGTTTTGTTTGGTATGGGTATCCCAATTCCTAAACTCCTTCCCTATGGGTTGTTAATGAAAAAAATTGAAGAATTTTATTCAATAAGGGAAACCCTATGCCATGACCTTCCACCTGATCAGCAGGTTGATGGGGTCTATAGAAACCTGGAGAACTTTCTACTTCTGCTGGCCAAGTTCTATTTTGAGACTGATCAGTACAGTAAACCTGGGGATAAACTGGTGTGGTTCAGTGAGAGGGAGGGAGCATTAAAAATTGCCATAGGGGTGATGGGGCTCCTTTTGGGAAATGGGATCAATCTATGTCATGGCTGATAAGTTTTTTGAATGTGGGGCCCAGGGTAGCTAGTCCCAATGACAATTTTTTGTTATTTGGAGCTAGTTGTAAGGAGGATCACATGGTCGTTTCTCGTTTTACAGTGAAACTTGCTATAGACATGGAAAAAATAGAGAGCAAATCTTACACAGTATTGGGTAAGAATGTCACCTTTTCTTTTGATCTCCTGCCAGGAGATATGAAATTCCTTGCATATATAAATGGGGAATTAAGTAATGCAGCTAAATATTTTTCTAGCTTTGCTAATGTCTCCAAAGATGACTGTAATGCACTGAATGGGAAGTATGGAGAATCTCATGATTGTAAGTGGAAGCCTTGGCAGTATGCAGAAAGAATCAAAGTTGCAAAACAGGTTGAAGATTTCAAGAAAAAAATACCTAGTCATTTAGCAGTATCAACAAAGAGATCCAAAGTAACTCCATTTATTGCTGTAAAAAAATCCAGACAAGAATTCAAACCATTAATTGGTAAGCTATGTGACAAGGAAGTTGTTGAACCACTTCACCTTAAGAATAATGGTGTCCAACATTTTCATGCAATGTTACTTGATCTTGCTATTTCTGTAAGTAACCTCCCCCCAAAATTAAATAGTCTTGATGATTTGCCCTCCAATTCGGCAATGTCCAGATATTTAAAGGCCATGGAACAAGATGTTAAAGCAGGGAGAATGAAAAAACAACTAGGTAGGTGGCTCCTTGAGGATAGAGCTAAAGATAAAGACTTCACTTGCAGGTTAACTGGTAAAGATTCCCGCCTAATCTTGCATGGCTTTATGTATCTAGTGAAAGCAATTCAGGGTGACTCAAATGATCCCAAGTTGCTAATGCGACTTCTGCCAATTGTCGTCATTGGTATTCGACTCAGGGTTTTTAGGTATGGTAATAAAGATGAAATAAAGGAAAAATAAAAATTACTTGAGATAAAAAAACTAACTACAACATATATATATATATATGTTGCTACCTCAACTCATTAGTAACTGTATAGAAAACACTGTTCCCTCTTCAATGATGAAGGATACCAAAGGCATTCCAATGGCCATAATGTAATTTCAATTCCAACATTTCTTCTTTATATTTATATTTCATAATTCCATTCTTCCTTTCATCAACAATGAGTTTCACTTCCCCTTTTCCAACTCCTAGCTTCTTTGTGAATCCTTGGCAGTCCTCAAATTTATTAAATAGGGCACACAGTCTTCTCATACTTGAGAATGTTATTGTGACTGAATAAGACTGCTCCAAAACATCTACACCAAAACGTGTAAGATTTACAACCCCTTCATTCAATAAATTCAATTGAACACTTCCTGTGGCATCGGGACGTCAAAACGAATCATCCAAGGATGGATTTTACTCATCCGCGGACTAAGTCGGCGATAAATTCCTTTCTTAGCACGTATCATTGTGCGCTCCAACGTGGAAGATATGGGACAAATTTCATGCTGATATCGATCCCGAAGGGGACCGTATTTTCCCTTCACAACAGCCTCAGCCACTTTCCCTAGCGCTTGAAATGTTTGATCTAGATCTCTCAGCTTATGTACATTTGAAATCCGCCGGGAAAAATTCGACTTCTGGCGATTTAATGCTCCTTTAATGCCACTAATATTTCCACTTGGTTAGGTTCCCTTTGAGCCGCCATCTTTTTTTTTTGATTCACATGGACCCAATCCTCCGCGCGGCCGCGAAAAGTTGGCCGAATTTTAGGTCAAAATTTCCAAGCGTGTAATAAATTGCTACTAGGTTGCCAATCAGGGTTCCGTTCTCTACATAGTACGCTCACGGCTTTGCTTGAGGCAACAAATGCTTGGTCAGTAAACATCGACAATGGCCTTCTAAATGGCGTTGTCTGTATTGACCTTACTAAGGCATTCGACACCATTGATCATGAGATCATCTTGCGTAAGATGTCGTACTTGGGTGTCGATCAGGCAGCTATAAAATGGTGGCCGAAGTAAGGTCAATAGTGGCCGAACCCAAAGATGTAATGTCAGTGGCAAACTATCATCTGCTCGTACCCTCAGTTGCGGCGTGCCGCAGGGTAGCATATTGGGTCCTTTGATATTTTTAATTTACATTAATGATCTTCCCAACTCCCTGCGGGGCGCCGTACCAAGAATGTTTGCCGACGACACCAACCTTACGTTATCTGCTAAGACGTTAACAGAGCTTAAGCTAGCTCTAACCCCTGAATTAAATAACCTTAGCTGTTGGCTGAAAGCTAACAAGCTCAGTCTAAATGTTGCTAAAACAGAGCTAATGATTATTGGATCAAGACAAAGACTATCTGCCCAATGTGACGATGTAGAAATCAGAATTGATGACCAAATTATTAAGAGAGTCGATCATACCAAATCCTTGGGTCTTACCATAGATGCTCAACTCTCTTGGGGTAAACACGTTGAAGAGATTTGCAAGAAAGTCTCTTCAGCTATAGGCGCCCTAAAACGTGTGCGGCCCTTTATATCCAAAGAAACTGCAATTCAAATTTATAACGCTTTAATTATGCCTCATTTTGATTACTGCAGCCCCGTCTGGGACTGTTTGAGTGGTTACTTGAGTGATAAGCTCCAAAAATTACAGAATCGTGCAGCCAGAGTTATTACTAAATCACCCTTTGATGCGAGCTCAAACCACCTTCTCTCCACCCTCAGGTGGGAGAGGCTATCTCTTCGACGAAAGAAACAAAAAGCCGTAATGATGTATAAAACCATGAAAGACCGTGCTCCAGAATATCTGCAAAGTCTTTTCTCTCAGCGTCAATCTGCTTACAACTTAAGAAACTCTGAGGGAAGGCTGACCTTGTCCAAACCAAGCACCAATTATTTGAAGCGAAGCTTCTCTTACAGCGGGGCCATGTTATGGAATAACTTGCCCAAAAACTTAAAAAACGCTGCATCCGTTGAGCATTTTAAGCGAAATATCAAGAAGGTAGCTGATATATCGGATTCCCACACGGCAATCATGTAAAGCAGTTGTAATTAGTTTTAGTTTTTAACTTAAGCTTAACTGATGATTTCCCGTGTTTAAATAAAGATTTACATACATACATACATCGTTAGAGTGCTAGATCGTTAGATCGGGAGATCGCTAGATCCTTATATCGCTAGATCGATGGATCGCTAGATTGTTAGATCTCTAGATCGCTAGATCGCTAGATCGCTAGGTCGCTAGATTGTTAGATCGCTAGATCGTTGGGTCGTTAGATCGTTAGAACGCTAGATCGTTAGATCGCTAGATCCTTGGATCGTTAAAGGGTTACATCGCTAGATCGATGGATCGGTAGATTGTTAGATCGGTAAATCGTTAAATCGTTAGATCGCTAGATCACCACCTTTTTAGATCCCTAGATCGATGGATCGTGAGATCGTTAGATCGCAAGGTCGATGGATCCTTAGATCGTTAGATGTTTTGATCTTTAGATCGGTAGATCGTTAGATCAATGGATTGATTGATCGTTAGATCGCGAAATGGTTATATCGCTAAATCGATGGATTGCTAGATTGTTGGATGGCTAGATCGTTACATCGATAGATCGATGAATCGTTAGATCGTTAGATTGCTAAATAGTTCGATCGTTAGATCGTTAGATTGTTAGATCGCCACCTCGTTAGCTCCCTAGATCGATGGATCGTTAGATCGTTAGATGGCTAGATCGTTAGAACGCTGGATCGATGGACTGATTGATCGTTAGATCGCTAGATCGTTATATTGCTAGATCGATGGATCACTAGATTGTTAGATCGCTAGATCGTTAGATCGTAAGATCGCTAGATTGTTAGATCGCAAGATCGATGGTTGTTAGATCTTTAGATCACTATTTTGTTACATCGCTAGATCGATGGATGGTTAGATCGTTAGATTGCTAGATCGTTACATCGTTAGATGGCTAGATCGTGATATCGCTAGATCGATGGATCGCTAGATTGTTAGATCGCAAGATCGATGGATCATTAGATCATTAGATTGCTAGATCGTTCGATCGTTCGATCGCTAGATCGTTAGATCGCCACCTCGTTAGGTTCCTAGATCGATGGATCGTTAGATCGTGAGAACGCTAAATCGATGGATCGTTAGATTGTTAGTTTGCTAGATGGTTGGATTGCCACCTTGTTAGATCCCTAGATCGATGGATCGTTAGATCGTTAGATCGCTAGATCGTTAGATCGCCACCTCGTTAGATCCCTAGATGGGTGGATCGTTTGATCGTTAGATCGCTAGATCGATGGATTGTTAGATCGCTATATCATTAGATCGCTAGATCGTTGGATCGTTAGATCGCTAGATCGTTAGATCGCTTGATCGATGGATCGTTAGATCGTTAGATCGCTAGATCGATAGATCGTTAGATCGTTAGATCGCTAGATCGTTAGATCGCCACCTCGTTAGATCCCTAGATCGATGGATCGTTGGATCGTTAGATCGCTGGGTCGATGGATCCTTAGATCGTTAGATCTTTACATTGTTAGATCGTTAGATCGATGGCTTGATTGATCGTTAGACTTCGAGATCATTATATCGCTAGATCGATGGATCGCTAGATTGTTAGATCGCTAGATCGTTAGATCGCTAGATCGATGGATCCTTAGATCGTTAGATCGTAAGATCGCCACCTCGTTAGATCCCTAGATCGATAGATCGTTAGATCGTTAGATCGCTGGATCGATGGACTGATTGACCGTTAGATCGCTAGATCGTTATATCGCTAGATCGATGGATCGTTAGATTGTTAGATCGCTAGATCGTTAGATCGCTAGATCGTTAGATCGCTAGATCGCTAGATCGTTAGATCGTAGATCCTTATAGATCGCTAGATCGACGGATCGATGCATCGTTAGATCTCTAGATCGTTAGATCGATGGATCGTTAGATCGCTAGATCGTTAGATCGGTGGATGGTTAGATCGTTAGATCGCTAGATCGTTATATCGCTAGATCGATGGATCGCTAGATTGTTAGATCGCTAGTTCGTTACACCGTTAGATCGCTAGATCGATGGATCGTTAGATCGCTATATCGTCACATTGCTAGATCGTTGGATCGTTAGATCGTTAGATGGCTAGATCGCTAGATCATTAGATTGCTAGATCGATGCATCGTTAGATCGTTAGATCGCCACCTGGTTAGATCCATAGGTCGAAGGATCGTTAGATCGTTATATTGCTAGATCGATGGATCGCTAGATTGTTAGATCGCTAGATCGTTAGATCGTTAGATCGCTAGATCGTTAGATCGCTAGATCGATGGATCGATGGAATGATTGATCGTTATATCGCTAGATCGTTAGATCGTTAGATCGCTAGATCGTTAGATCGCCACCTGGTTAGATCCAAAGGTCGAAGGATCGATAGATCGTTATATTGCTAGATCGATGGATCGCTAGATTGTTAGATCGCTAGATCGTTAGATCGTTAGATCGATAGATCGTTAGATCGCTGGATCGATGGACCGATGGACTGATTGATCGTTGTATCGCTAGATCGATGGATCGTTAGATTGTTAGATCGCTAGATCGTTAGATCGTTAGATCGTTAGATCGCTAGATCCTTATAGATTGCTAGATCGACCGATCGATGCATCGTTAGATCGCTAGATCGTTAGATCGATGGATCGTTAGATCGATAGAACGTTAGATCGATGGATGGTTAGATCGTTAGATCGCTAGATTGAAGTATCGCTAGATCGTTATATCGCTAGATCGATGGATCGCTAGTTTGTTACATCGTTAGATCGCGAGATCGATGGATCGTTAGATCGCTAGATTGCTAGATCGCTAGATTGTTAGATTGCTAGATCGATGCATCGTTAGATCGTTAGATCGCCACCTGGTTAGATCCCTAGGTCGAAGGATCGTTAGATCGTTA